TGAAATTTTTGTTTTTTCACATGATGCCAGGTTGCAAGGTACGTAATTACAAGTATAATGAGGCGACTCCCCCGAATAATGTTTTGTTTGCTTGGTAAAATGACTGGTGCATGATGGGTGGGTGAGTTAATTTGAGGTCTTCGTTACCAGGCTCAGAAGCCATAAACCGGAATGCTGGTCTCACCCCGACAATCCTGGCACGTCCGACCTGAATACCTAGCCCAAGCATTCTCGGATGCGTGCCGTCAGACTAAGAGACAAAAGAATGAACCAGGTCAAACCACTCTATGGGTGCATTAGGTGGAAAATGGCCGAGTTGTACTCAACGCTCACTTGTGTTCAGACCATTACTAACCGTAGTGAGCAATTGAGAGCAAGATACGGGGACCCGTTGGTGTTTCATCGGTGAGTGGCCGACCGGAAATTATGACTCTAGCATCTCATTTGGAGCGTTTCGGCTGGCTGACGCTACACACCCCGGAGCGAGCCCCTCGCAACCATAGTAAAGTCATTGAGCTTGCTCAAGCTGCAAGTCACCCAAGGCGTATTTTACAGAAATATCTCAAAGAATATTTGCGAGGCAAACTTCCGTCTGTGTTCGTCTGACTATGATGAATGCTGTCGTTTCTCGTAAACCTCTGTCGTTCAGGTTTGCGCAGGTCTTCTGCCGAGTTTCGCGTTTTCGTTCAGTTGTCACACATTGACGCCTATATGTGAGATATCTTCATTTAGTTCAAGGGCACCTATGGGGATGGACGGTAGTTGTTTAAACATAAAAATGTGGCTGCATTGCAGTTCTATAGGTATCGCACTTGGTGGCTCAACTCTTTTTGCTCTGTATGAACGACTGAACCGGATTCCACTTTACATTCTCCAGGTAAATTTGCTTATGGAGGACAAAAGATAGGTTTCGTCTATAATTTACGTTCACGTTTGTTGTCTATCATAGCATCTTGAAAATGAGGGTGTCAGTGAGTTTTTCTGCCATAAAATCTATCCTTTGCTCAAAGTGACGTGGCAGTGAAAGCAGATGCGCGTCTTTCATCTAAACTGGACATGCTTAGAAAGAGACAGATAACTGGATCATTTTTGTACCAGTCATTCTAATGTCATTTTGTCCATTCTCGTATTGCGTCACAAAGGCGATCGCCGAGTCTTCTACAAGTGATATGTGGACGCACTCAGGGAAATGTGCTAGTCTATCAACCACGGCTTTGCAGTGTCCGTATCTATTTGAGGGTCGCCAACGTGGGGACTCCAGGATTTTGGGTATTCTGCAAACATTGATTTTAAAACACATTTTAAATACTTTAGCTTAGACCAGAGAAAGAGGTGGTCCCAAAGCTGATCCTGGAGTAAAATAAACAAAAACAGCTCTCGATGAAGAGCGGGTCGGCCATACATTTATTCACAACTTTTCATCTATTGGGAACGTGTTAATCCAGTGTCATTTCTACCTGACCCCCGTAACACTCGAGCTTTTGGGACGGCAGATCATGTAGTGGACTCGATCAAATGTTTCATGAAGCTGAATTCTCTGGCATCCTTCGTTTTATCTTGAGGTTAACTGTCCATAAATACGAGCATATTTGTCTCGTAGGAAAGGCTTGGATGGGAATTGTTTTGCGCTTGGGATATCAAGCTATTGGTACTCAGGTGGTGTAAGATGGTGCAGTGGGCTATTGAGGCTATTAGATTTTTAGCTGTTGCGCGTTAGGCCGACCAGAAGCAAACGAGATCAAAAGCAAACACAGTGCTCTCTATGTTTTACCGGACAATTAACTATCACCTGATCAAAGAAGTTATTTTTTATCGGTGATAACCAAATCCAAAAGGGGTGGCATTTATTCAGTGTGTCAATATGTTGAGTCCAAGCGCTATGTTGAACGAATCTAGTCAGCACAGATGCAAGATGTCCGCTGGACTTGGTGCTCTACAACTCTACCTAAGAGGCCTTTGGAGCCTTGAAATCCCTTCCCAGAAGGAGTTGCTTGAAGTGGTGGCTAGAAGACAGTTGCTCAGGTGTTTGTATGAGGATCCGATTATCTACCGGTGAACATATGCGTCAACTGCAAACAATGCTCAGGGAACGAGGATCAGTCCCACTCAGCGGGATCGCAGACCTGTGCATTAGTCGCGCTGGAAAGTCGAACTATGTGAGAGGGACGGCTTATAAGTGTACCACAGCCCAACATGCAACCTCGCCTTTTGGATCAACTTGGAACATGCAGTAGCCGCGTATCCGGAGGTGTTTGGTGTGAGCTAGGTCTCTGTAAGTGCGATTGTGGATGGATTTTAAGACAATCCCTCTGCTGAATATCGCGAAGTTTGCTGGAAAGACCGAGGCAGTTTGTTGACAGGCACTAACACTATCTTTACTGCGTCAGGTGAAGAGCCGAGGGGTCAACCACCAAAGAGGTGAGCGGATTCATTAGTGATACGCCAGGTTTGGATCCAGAGCCTCAAATGAGAATTTTCGGTTTATTTGTCTGCTTTCCGTCGATGTGCTTTACGCATCTGTTGTTTAATTGCAGAGGGAAAGTCAGACACCCAAGTTTTCCGAAGCTTTATGGTTGTTGTACACAAGTTAAATACAATACGCCTTACACTGTTCATGAACAGTCTTCCCAGACCCTTTACGTACTCACGGATTAAGGCACGGGATCGGAATTGCTCCTTATTTCGGTGGCTTCCGTTGACTCGAAATACATCAGAAGAGGCGTTTCACGACTCTCGTAATTCTCAGCGCCAGGCAGTAAGGTTTCCAGCTCAACGATAAACTTTATGGTCATCCGAAAATGTTTCGAGTGCATTAGCCGCGCTGGAAAGTCGAACTATGTGAGAGGGACGGCTTATAAGTGTACCACAGCCCAACATGCAACCTCGCCTTTTGGATCAACTTGGAACATGCAGTAGCCGCGTATCCGGAGGTGTTTGGTGTGAGCTAGGTCTCTGTAAGTGCGATTGTGGATGGATTTTAAGACAATCCCTCTGCTGAATATCGCGAAGTTTGCTGGAAAGACCGAGGCAGTTTGTTGACAGGCACTAACACTATCTTTACTGCGTCAGGTGAAGAGCCGAGGGGTCAACCACCAAAGAGGTGAGCGGATTCATTAGTGATACGCCAGGTTTGGATCCAGAGCCTCAAATGAGACTTTTCGGTTTATTTGTCTGCTTTCCGTCGAGGTGCTTTCCGCATCTGTTGTTTAATTGCAGAGGGAAAGTCAGACACCCAAGTTTTCCGAAGCTTTATGGTTGTTGTACACAAGTTAAATACAATACGCCTTACACTGTTCATGAACAGTCTTCCCAGACCCTTTACGTACTCACGGATTAAGGCACGGGATCGGAATTGCTCCTTATTTCGGTGGCTTCCGTTGACTCGAAATACATCAGAAGAGGCGTTTCACGACTCTCGTAATTCTCAGCGCCAGGCAGTAAGGTTTCCAGCTCAACGATAAACTTTATGGTCATCCGAAAATGTTTCGAATTGAGTTCCGGATGCGCCGTCAGCATCCATCGGAGGAAGCCTATTTCACGCAAGGCCTATCTGAAATCAATAAAACTGTTGTCCCATAAAAGTGCGCGCTCTAGTATTGAAAATTCTCTAACCGCGCTCCCGTTATGTACTGACTGGATCGTCGGTGAATATCCTGTCGGCCAAACCCAGTTGATACAGAACGTAAGTGGATACTAGTTCTCCTCCACGCCGCTCGTAATCTGGGAAAACCAGTTAATATACTTCGAGACGTGCTCCGTATTTGGCGGCCAGGGATCACTTTATGGAGAGTAGCCATCCCCTAAGCATCTTGTTGGATACACTCAGTGTGGTCACATACTTTTGGTGTATTGAGTGGAAAACCTGCGTACTACTTGGTGTTTTTTCCGCTAAAAGCGCCGGTTTGTGTAAACCAGAGCAAGAACCCAGATGATGGATCCTCCCATTACTGTGAGTTTAAGCAACACAAAATGAACTCCTCTAATGGTCGCAGCGTTTGGGTTGGCGTTCCTGGCTGTTCGACGACACGCGGAAATAGCGACCTTAGTGAATAATCCATAAGCATTACCAACTGCAGCAGAATGATACAATGGCCGCCATACTCAACCCTCCGCAAACTGGAGTTGGCTTGGTCGTTCCTTAAGCCAGCCCCTTGTTAGGGAGATCGTTTACGGAGCTCTCCTCAAAGTTTCGAGTCGACCGCAGTGTTTTTGGAAATCGATACGCAGCTCCGAAAGACGATTGAGGCGGTAAGCCTAGGCTGTGGGAGTTTGACGATAGCTGTCTTCTCCCAAATTCCAAATGGTGTTCGCGTGTTGTTCCCACCAAAAGTTAATAAAGACGTTCCGTGCGTTTTGCAGCTTGGTGTCCCTTCTCAGCAGTGTTTTTCCTCTCAGGTTCGACAAGTTAAAATTTCAAACAACCTAAAGCGTCTTGATGATAAGGATATGCTTGTACATGCTTAAATGATGATCCTATTCAGCTTGCTGGATCCACGCGGTATTTCTTGGGAAGTCCCCCTTACAATGGTTCAATATTTCAGTAATCTCACGATTCGGATGGGCTTACTTTAACTGCTAACCAAAAAAGCCAAATTTATAAGTTGTTTTTTTCTTAGCCATTCGGGATAAACCAGGCTTTCCCTCGAAAATAACTCATTTGTGACAGCCATCTTGAAAATGGAGCTCTTGCTTATTGAGCAGGCCAAGTAGCCCTGAAAGTATGCCATACAAGCTAATGGATTACCCGGTGCTGTAAAATGTTGCGATACTACTACTACCGCAGCGGCAGTTACTAGCAGACAGAAGTGGTTGGTCGTAATTTTAAATGCTATAAAAGTTTTTCTTCCTTACGTACACCAGCATCCCATGGCCATATTATGCGTTCCAAGTAGAAGGCATGCAAGTGGAGTGAATATTATTGGGCCACTAAAATTTTGATCGATCCTCCATTGAAATTTTTCCCATTCATGGGATAACCCACGGCAGGAAAGCATTCAGCTTCAAACATCCAGTTTAGATGGGTAATTGGCATTTGGCTGGAGCTTAAGTCTGTAAAAGAAAACGAATTGAATGATGGATGAGATTTTGAAGCTGTTTGGAAAGCCAGTGTCCGCCACCCAGTCACAAATGATGTATCCGTAAAGTAAAGGTGTAGCTCACTGTGGGCTACGTGCTAATAGATTTTGTCTTCGAAGTAAGGCGCGGATGCCTTGTTCGCCTTTCTTTAACGAAAAATGTGACATGCGCTAATGCTTGAATACAGAGCTTTATTTCCAAAATATACAGTGCAATCGGGAAGCTATCAAAACTATGTCCGCCACTTGTCCTCAAGAAAAAAGAGTAAGCCACACATAAATAGTGATGGCCTGAAAGCTAAAAAACGTGTAGATGCTTAACTTCTTTGGCTTACACAAACGCGATTTACCAGAAAAGTCAAATTCCTGAAAGAAACCAAAAATACTCGCAATGCACCGGGTCACTTCACTCCACTAGGCGCCGACCAAACAGCCCTGAAATGGAGCCACGTAGTGCCATACGCACCAATAATGGGTAGCGCAAAACAACCTTCTATCAAAGCCAGGCAGTGTGAGGGAGACTTGAACCAAAGTTAGGAGAGGTCCTTCAAAAAAGTACCTTTAGGCCGTTGTACGTTTCTCATTCGCGCTCGCGCTCGATTGTTCACAATATGGCTGCCGAGGTCTTGTGGTCAGTGTTTTCCGGTACTTCGAACCGAAACGGGGATAGAAGACAGAAATAGTTATTCACAGCCATGAGCAGAAAGTCCAACCCTCCCGCTGCATGCCGAACAATGCCATATTGTATACATAATTTCGGCGACTTACTTTTTGTCTGCGCATTATCTCAAAGTAAAATTACACCTCACTCTGTTTGCACTCAATACACAGCGTCAGGGGAACTTCGATCTTTTTTAGGGGCCCAGGATTCCAGCGCGATGCAGACACATTCATCCGTGATCCCGGTAAGCACACTGCTAGCCGCTCGCAGCCACGTTCGAACGATGGCATATACCATGGACATTAACGTGAATCCGAGGCACAGTCCATGGGTCATTATGACGTTTTCCACATTTACGAAACCCGCAGTGGTATGCACGTTGAACTGAATTTGGTTAGTATTCCCCAACCCAACAAATGATTTCGTAATCTCGCGGTAATATTATGCAGGAGGCTATTTACTGGTTCATGACAAAGATACAACATTCACCTGGGTGAGGACAAAACCTCTTCACCAGAGTGGGTCTCCCTAGGCTTGTTAACCTGAAGAATCTTGAGACAGGAAAAAACAACGGCAATCGGTATTGCTCCCTCGGGCTAAGACTCACTTGTATAAAATTTTTAACTGCGAAATCAAAACAGCCGTGTGACCCGCTGTGCATAAAACAGTAACACGCGTCGAATCGGACACCAGCGTTTCACGCGTGCATGACACCTCCGGCATTCTGAAAGACTGAATCTGATACAGAGATCAAAGATCTTGATCCGCGAAACTCAAATTTCAAAGACAGGTGTTGCGGAAACCTTTTCTTAAGTTCTTTTCGATGCATAGGTCCTTAATCACATTTTATACTTGATAACTATTTTTTCACGTTTGTTCCCCAATAAGCTGTGGTCATAAGGGCCAACAGGTCTCCTTTCTTCAACCGCCCCCACGCGTTTACTCCTCGTCTACATAACCGACCCTGCCGACGTGCGCCAATTTCCAACGCTTTCACCGTCCTACCTAAACTACCAGCCCATATAGGTGGCGAAGATTGACTGTGGCCCTCGTAATACAATCCGGAGTTTTCCTACTCGCCTAGAGCTCCCTCAACCTTTCGCCCTCAAACTAGTTATCGCTCAACCTGCTCCGAAGTATTACATCATGACACCGCTTCCGTCATCCTCCTTTAAGCGATTGCTAGACCCCGAATCTCCATTATCTATCCCCACAGTATGCCCAAAGAGGCAGCTCACAGCCAAAATACCCAGTTTCAAACCGTTTCACCTTCCGAGGCCGGGAAATACGATATCACAGGCAACCTGAGATAGTTCGGTAGTTCTAGCCGACATATCTTTGCCTCCGCAACCTGGAAACATTCTTCTCTTAGGCCGGGAGAGACCCGGAAAATCTCAGAACACGTCTAACCAAGATGAATAATAATGTCATTCCTGGACGAAGAGGATGTCGCACATCTGCTAACATCACAGGCCCTTCTCTCCTCCACCAAAAAATTCCAAGCCATGAAAATCAAAGCTTCCTGTATTCAAATACGAAGACAGCTTACCAAAACGTTACCTTGACCTGTTGTTCCACCAACCGCCAGTACTTGCGTTGACGCTCCATACCTGCGCTTTAGTTGTGAGTGTTCCGTGATTACTCCCAAAACTGAATCCACATCAAACTATTCAGCATCCTCTAACTTAGCAGCTTTACAAAAGCCTGAGTCCTCTGTCAGTACTGCAAATGGACTTTTGCTTAAAAATTCGTGAAAACTGTAAATGCCCCCATCAACTCAGTAGGACTCCATGATGATGTTGAAACGACTGATACGGTACATCTCCCAACCAGTCAAACGACCTCAACGATTGTTGACAACACATGTTCTCGTCACAGGCCCCCTGGCCTGTTGTCTTTCCGTGTTCCGCCTCCCCCGAAATATTCTCTCGGGCTCAAGGTTTTATTCAGGCCGCGATACCTAGCGCACTCTAAATGGCATCCCCAAAAACTCGACCCTCCGTATGCTGTCGTACCTTAACCTGTTGCACCATCAACCACCAGTACGTACGTTGACACTCTCACGGTACCCTTATGCTCTCAGGGCTCTGTGACTGCTCCAAGCACTGTGCACACACCGGTCATCTCGGAAGTTCACCCCAGTCAGCCGCTATACATCTGATTTCCCCAACCTCATCCCCACTCGCCGTGATTATATTGGCTCTTAATAGACCTCTTGTACTTTATTATCGTATGTTGGCAAACCAAACCCTCGGTCGGTAGTCTATTAAGTAAAAATCCCTCTATATCCTGTTCCATATAATCACTTGTCTTCATCACCCTAATAGCGGTGGACGTCAAATTTTTCCTTCTATGCATATTAATGCTCATTATCCCATTCGATGTATCTTCAAACTCACCATGCTTTACCAACCTCATCCCATCCACTCATCTACCCAAGTTTGTACACTTGTAAAGCTGTAAAGTCTGTACACCTGCTGAGCTATCCGTCCGAACTTAACCAATAATGTGTCTGTGCTTTCCACAAAATTCAATATCTTTATATACAGTTGGTGTTCCGGCTCGCGTTTTGCCATCATCTCGCTCTTCCAAAGACCTATTATGCTCCACTCCAAAATAGCGACACCAGTAAGTCTCTACAATTCCACTGTACTCCATGTTTCTATGAATCCCGCTAACGCTTATCCGCCTTGCTAATCCCTCCACATCGTCATCCCCACATATAATTTTTGTGACCCTGGCCATGAGCACAACAGTCCAAGGCAACGAGGCCATAGAGTAGGTTTTGGGTTTTAGTTCAGCATGATTAGCTGGATGACACCCACTTTGCTGTTTCACCCAATCCGATGTCCCAGTTCCTCGTTTTTCACCGTTAAACTTTCCTTGTCAATTGTCAGGCAGAGAGGCTCTCGTTTTTCCCTCGCCCGCTTTGTTTTTGCCTGCCACTTTCAAATCCCTACGATCTTATCTTGCTCTATATTATCTCCAGTGACAGAGGAACTGCGATTTCCTGCCGTGCCGGTTTAGTGGTGATCAGGTGTACATCGGATAATGCCCGTACCCTATGGTGCTGTCCCTTTTTCTAAACATGTGTGCCCGACATCCCCGCCGGTCATGCATTTATTCTTACCGTAACATTATGTTACCTGATGGTATGCCATCCACAAGTTGGGAATAAACATTATTGTGATATTATATTATATAACTCTAACGCATGTCATTATTATAGATGGAAACGAGTGAAAGTTCATGCATTCATCACAACAGTCTGAAGGGCCGTAGGTTTTAGTGTGCGCAAAGCCTCTCGGATCTTCAGCAGATCTCAAAATGGATAATCCAAGCGGAATATCTTATCTTGGAGGAAAACACGAACACTCACATGTTTCTCCGGTTATATTCACAGACCATCATAGCCGCCTGGAACAGCGCAACCAAACAATATCTAGTAGTTCTTGTATTTCTCCACTCAGCGGTTGCATATGCACACTTTCAAGTTTGGCTGGCGCAGTTCATGGCGTTTGTTTTCCAAACAACCATCATCGGCGTTCCCAATTCCGACAGGACGTGACCCTGGAAACAAGTTCACTTTTCCTTGACTGCTACCTAGTACCTGACTCGCTGCCTGTGTGCGAGCGCACACGTGTGTAGTTACACAGAGAGCTACACTTGTAGAGATGCACATGTGAGATAACCGTCAGCAATTTTTAGCCATGGAAGATCTTTTCCCCAGTTAGCTAATATAGTGTGATAACGCACGTATTGATGGGCACTGTGGGAAGTCCGTCAAACCGAAACCACCATTGTGGAGAACCCAGCGGTATGGTGAGTTCACTCCTGAGATTGAACCACAGATGTCTTACAACACTTTCGTATTTGAACCTTTTGTTGAATCATTTCGCTGACAGGATTGCCATAGCAACTTACGAAATGGCGCGTAATGTAATAACTTCTTATATTGTCGTGCAATATTTTACATCGGTTTTTATTTATGTGTATCAGTTTACATATCCCTGTTTACCAGGACTTCTAGCGGATGTGTCATCACAGTATTCAGGGATAACTCTTAGGTCTCATCAACGAGCAAACACTCAATTCAAGAGCACCAACTTCTATGACTGGCTAAATTGTCATTGTTTGAACTGGAGTTGGATGGTGTCAGTTAGGCCCAGTAGGTTGTGACTTTTATGCTTCTGGTAAAATAAATGCCTTGACCTCAATAACACATTAGACGAACAGGTGAAGACTGGGTGGCTCTTGTTTTATGAATTCCGCAGAAGGTTCACTATATATCTCAAATATTGCCTCTCATGATG